AGGGACTGATGAGATGCTTTTTCCAAGGAGGTGGCACCGGGCATACTATCTCTGTCCTTGTCGCACACTAGCTCTGTCCTTGTCTTACACATTGCGGGTATAGGGAAAAGCTTCGAAAACGCCCCGCCGCTAGATGGCGCTGCTATCGGTCGCGACCAAGATTCTCTATCCTTGTCGCACAGTCGTGCTGTCCTTGTCTTACTCATTGCGGGGATAGGAAAGCCCCTGATTGCACTCTATATAAATGTCTCTTATATATACTGGCTGTTACGCTTGCATGACTGCTCCTGCGAGCTGCAACCGGCTTTACACAGTCATGATTTGGTCTTGTCAACGTCATTGTATCAGTACGAGAATAATATTTATTATTATCCCAATAGTTGAGACTTTATTGTAATGCTTAAGTAGTCCTTCCAATATCTATTTCATCTAATATGGTATTGTTTAATTAATTAATTTCTAATAAATAATTAGTATTATATAAATTGTGAGGGGAAGTAAATAATCAAATTTCAAGTGCAGTTGATATTTATAATTCCATTCGTAATTACATGAGTGTATAACTACTTATTGCTCCAAATAATTTAAGTTTCTCATGCTGTTTGTACACGCGCATGTTTACATTCTATTTTCTTAAAAAGATAAATGGTCGTTTAAAAAATTCGCACGCTCATTACATTGTTACTCAGCCACCCTCAGCATTCAATTCGGATTCCCATAATGCAATTTGCTCGTTAAAAAATGAAATGCATCGATTGCATATGCTATTAGGCACTGGAGAAAGTCGTGCAGTTCTTTCGTTATCAATGAATTGATGTCAGATTTCAATTAGCTTTCAACTATATAGTTTAACAAATGAAATTTGTTCGCTACCAGCGTCACATATTTGTGACGGACGCAATCTTATATTACACATAAAGCAAATTCAATTAATCTCATATATATTATTTAAAGTTACAAGCTACGGCACTATATTCAGAAACTCAATAACTTATTCAAGCTTCATTTTTCCGACATTTTCTTTCGATTTATTAGATCGAATGAAATATTCTAAATAAGGAGGTTCTCATCGGAATAAACGCTGGAAGCGAACGTTAACCCTTTGCACTCGAGGGGCGCCTTAGAGCAGCAAACCTATAAAATTTTCAATTGAATATTAAACCTTGTGTAACGTATCAACGCATAAAACATCGAAGTAAAATAGTTCTGTCTCTTATTTTATATAAGACAATCAATCGTGTTAGTTGCGAAAAATATCGTTAACATTTAGTCAGAAAGTAATGCATATTTTTCACGAAAAATATCGTCGAGTGCAAAGGGTCAATCACCGTTCGTCGAACGCATCCAAAGGTCGCCGCGCGAAACTCACCGCGAATCGCCGACTAAATCTCGCTCGAGTTCCGTCAGATGTCTCCGGCATATTCGATATAAGCGCCGTAGATCCCTTAGATCCCCGTCGACGTTCGATCTCGGTGGATCGCGAGTGATCATAGATCTCGTTCCCTTTCTGCGTCCGCGTCGCGCGCCCGAACGATCGGGAAAGGTGAACGTTACACGGTGATCGTCGATGAATGACCAGTGACCGGAAGTCGAGAGATCATCGGACGATGGAGTCGTCAAAGGAATACGTCTGCCGGCTGTCGCCGGAAGAGATGGAGTACGTGGCGGTAAATTTGAACGAGACGGATGGTGACAGACCGATGAAAATCGCGGAGCTCAGACAGTGGATCGTGGAAAACGTCGATCTCCACGCGCCGTCTGGTATCTGTTCCTAAGATCGTTGATTAGCGAACTCGTTCTGTCGATTGGGCTTTTTAAATGAATTAATCGGAGCACTCTTTAGAGACGAATCGATATTTGTGCTGGTAGGAAGCTTGGTACAGAATGTTAGACACTGTCGTAGATGTAGTTGATAATTCATTGTAATTCATCGATTTTTATTGATTTTAACCCTTCGCACTCGAGAGGTGACACTGGAAAGTTATGAAGTGAATGTTTAGTATTTTAAACGAAACTTCCTATTGCAATATGAAATATTGAGATAAAATAGCTTTGTTGCTTAATTTATCTGTGAATTGTTGAATTAGTTTCAAACGATGTCGATTATATCTTGTCGGAAAATGTTGAATATTTCCAGGTAAAAACTTTCGAGTGCAAAGGGTTAACACTATTTTTACCGAAGGTGTCAGACGATTTTTGAAATTTTAAGTTATAATTGTTCTATCAGTTGAATAGTTTCTGGTTTAATTGAATTTTGGATGTTTCTTGTAGTTAATTTTATTATCGTTGTTGGGGAAGTCGAAAAGTCAATTCAGAATATATTATTAAGCTTGAAAAGTACTTTGAAGATCAAATTTCAGAAGGTGACCTTTGACGCCTTCGAATACTGAGAGTCGCCTCTCGAGTACAAAGGGTGAAAGAAATCGATTTATAACACGCAAACTGAATTGCAAATCAATTACAGTCTCGATAGATGCAATCTTGGTTGCATTATTTCAAAGAATCAATGTAACTTGTTATTTTAATAGCTAATCAGCAATCGTCATTCAAATTTTATTTTAATAGCTGAATCGACGTTCAACCTAGCTCGGACTAATGTAAACTTTTCCTCTGATCGTTGTGTTCTCGATCCACGGATTTCCTCGCAGACGATTTCTTCTTGCTGCGTTTCCTGCGTGCCAGCAAGTTCGACACAGAGAAAGCAAAGAATAAGCTGCGAAATTATTGTAAACAAAGGGACACGCTGCCGGAATGGTACGCCAACAGGAATCCGTTCCTGCCAGAGCTCCAGGAGCTCTTCGATCTTGGGTAATCTCTAGTTTCTCGTCAAATTTATCTCCCGCCTTCCTATCTTTTAAAACATATAATAATATAGACACGTTTTAAAAAATAATAACTTCATTACAAAATACACATTGCTTCATTGAATTTGTATTGCTAAGTTACGATACGAAGTTTATTTATTTGCGCACATTACTGTATGAATATTAACTTTTTATCAAATATTTCTCCAATTTCTAGGTTATAAACCATGGCTCTATTGTTTGAACAAGCTGACTACGTACATATACACACTCAAGTGTCAATTGTTTTGAATTACGAATCGTGTTGAATGTAAAACGTTGAAATCATCATTCTTATCGTTCTTTTCGTCACGTTTAGAGCTCTCTTGTTGGCACGAGATCGCGCTGTCGGCGATACCCTATCAGCGTTTGATAAGCAATGACAGTTTACCGATACACAGATGTCTCTTCGTTGAAAGCGTCACTCGACTCCGTTCGCGGTTCAAGGGTCATTTAATTCTTCGAACAGTTCTAATCGCGAATCAATGATTCAATTTCATGCTCGCCAATTACATCAGCTAATGAATATTATCTCTTTCCACTCGAAAGTTTCTCACTGGGAATATTCCATTTCCGGTCAGGTACAGACGACAATCCTTGAATCTAGCTAATGAGGAAACACACGTACACTAAGAAACGAAGCTGTTTTATTCCAATACTTCACATTACGATGCATTGTACACAGTTTAACACACTGCGTACTGATAACGAGAAATCTCGTTTTTGTATAAAGATAGCTATGCAACTTCGCTAATTACCACAGCATTGAAGAAAATATAAAATTTCATTCGAATTGATTATCTATTTAAAATATATTGCACAACAATATATCTGAGTTTTTCTATGTATAGTGATATAAGTTGACCTCAGTGAAAATTTCCATCACAATTCAGTTTTCTGAAAATTAGCCGGTACGCAATGTGTTAATATCATGCATAACTTTAGAATTTTGCTCAAAGGGTTAACTCGAATCCCTTGCTATTAATTATCAGACGTCTCTTTATCTTTCCAGGGTACTTTTGCCTTTAAGAAAGCTAGATAACGACGGAAGGATGGTAGTAATAGTACGCGCGGCAGTCCACAACCCTTCTAGGCACAAAATGGCGGACATGCTGAAGGTACAATCCAAAAGTGGAATTTACTGATTCGAATTCAAACGAAACAACCAGTTCACATCATTCTTCAGTATTCTAATGATACAACTAAACTAAAAATCACTGTTAACTGTAACCATTGACATCAACTACAACTACTAACCATCAGTACCAAAAGTCGCTAATTACAGTGGACAATTTCAATATTTCACTAACCCTCGCTTATTAACCCTTTGCACTCGAAAATTTTTTGCTAGAAACATTCAACGTTCTTTGATAAAATATAGACGATGCTCGTTGCGACTAATGTAAATAATTTAATCGATAAATTAAGGGACAAAAGTAGTTTACTTTGATATTTCACATAGTGGCGCGTTATACAAAGTTTAGTATTAACACTAGAACTATCAAAATTGTAACAATAGAATATTTTCGGTTTCTTCAGACACTCGTTATAGTACTCAAGTGAAACCATTTATTATCAAAATCATTTCGAATATTCAGTGCTTTGAAAAATCAGTAATAGCGAAACAAGGAAACCGAAACCAGTCATGACTGTTACGTAGGTCTAGTGTTAAACATCAAACTTTATTTTACTGTATCAAACCAAGTGCAAAGTTAAATCATTAATACTTCACTCATACTATTCACAACAAACTGTTAAACCGTCACACTCGGAGATTTTAATATCGCCAATTAAAACGTCACCTAAGACGTGATTTCCGAGTGTTAAAGATTCACATCTGAAATTCGCGTCAACAATCTTGCTAAAAGACTCACGTTTCGCGCCAGGCCGCGCTGATGACTCTGGATCTCGCGCTGAGGGACCACGAGTCCATGACTATCTACGGGATCACCGCCATCTTGGATATCGCCGGCATCACCTACGAGCACGTGCTGCAACTGCCGCCCAGCGTGATCAGGAACCTGGTGCACGCGTGGCAGGGCTGCTATCCGGTGAGAATCTACTCGCTGGACTTCATCAACGCGCCGCGGTTCATCAACGTTATACTGAACGTCTTCAGGAGCTTCATGAACGCGAAGCTGAAGCAAAGGGTGCACGTGCACGCCCGCGGGAAACTGAAGCTCCACGAGTCGCTGCCGGACGACGTTCTACCGGAAGAGTATAACGGCACTAATGGCACTCTGAAGGATTTGATTGGTAGGCCTCACGGATTTCTTCCGTTTCAAACGATAAACCGAATAGAATATAAAACTGGCGTGGACCGTTGTTCAGTCGCTAACACTAGAACTATCAGGTGAAAATGGACCATTTCTTTCTTTCCATGATTGTTGGGAAGACATTGGTGGTCTGAGAAATTACTATGTACATTGAATCGTATAATCCCGCGGTTTCCAACCTAGAAGGCGCGGTTCCCAGAGGAAGCGCCAAAATTTTTAACACTAGGTTTACGGAACGCGTTAATTTGACGCAGATTGAATTTTATAAACATTACTTGGTAATGTTTCAATGGTTTTCGTTGATTCAATTACACGAATATGAATCTTGATTGTCTATTTCTACATTTACAATTTACAAAATCTAAATGAACGAATATCACCCCATGAACAATAGAATAAACTGTAAAATAAATGCCCGTAAACCTAGTGTTAATAAAAAATTAATATCTACAAATAAATAAACTCTATACCGTAACGTAACAGTATAAATTCAGTGAAGTAATGCTTATTTTGTAATAAAGTTATTATTATAAACGTGTCTATATCATTATATTTATTAAGAGATAGGGAGGCGAGAGAAAGAAATTTTCATTAGGGAAGCGTAGTAACGTAAAGGTTGGAAACGGCTGGTGTAAACACAAACTACAATATAAGTAAATTAAAATCTTAATGAAAGTATCTCTACGAATCGTATAAGAAACTGTGGAATACACAGTTTCACTGGTGGTTCTAGCGTTAACTGTTAGAGTACCTGAGCTGTGGAGTTGATGCATTCGAGGGAATAGACGATTGTTTAGGCATCGTGAGACTTACTTTTCGATTCCGCAGAGTGAAAATGATTTGAACAGCTCTCGATCGTATCTTCATCTTGCAGACTGTAGTAGATGTAAGGTAACTGGCATAAAGGTTCCCTTTAATCGCTAACGACATAGTTGACGATAGAGAGATAACGAAGTCGTCGATTGGAGCTAACAGGCTAAAGGGCAGGAGGATTCTCGTGTAATTAATTCATCAGGGTTCCAATTGAGGCACGTCTTCGTTATTTTTCAATGACCGATAGCTGAACTATTGACCCGGGCAATACTGTTGGGAGATCACCGAGGAACTTGATTGGTCAGTTTTCGTCTCTTCTCAGCGAATTCTCTGATTCTTAATGTCTTCGATCGCTGATTTGCTGTTCGTCGATAAGGTTACACATGACTAAAGAACTCAGCTGAGAGTTGTCTTGCTCCGCTGCTGTTCCGTTAGACATCGAGTCATCTCCCAACAGAACACGCGTGGGCTGGTATCCTATTAATTAACATCGCGACCGTAATTGGCCCGCAGAGTATTGGAAACGTGCCGTGGAGGACAACAAAGAGTGGTTCGCCGAGGAGGAAAAGTACAGATTGACGTCGATTAAGTAACCAGATTGGCTCTAATTCAACGATAACGAGGGATCTCGCGTATGCAGCGGCTGGTCGACTGGTCGAACAGCTAATGGCGCGTTTAGATCAAACGAGCAACCGATCAACGAACGTGTCAGTTGATAAACGAATATAATTAACGCTGGAACTACCTAAAAATCGAGATGATTTTTCTCAATTTCTCTGTAGACACCCTAAGAGTGCAGCTATTGAAACATAAATCGATTTATAATTCAATTTGCACATCACTAAATTAATTTCTATACTTATAGAAATTTCTATACTTTTCTATAATTATAGTTATAGGAACGTCTGTTGCATTTTCCGTAATTGCAACAGAAAAGTTCAATAATGAATATTAATCGATTAGTCCCAGCGTTAAACTCGCGCAGGGAACGTTGCTCACGTCCACGTTTGTATTTTTGTAAAACCATTTTTCTCGCTTTATTGTGAGTTTTTTTTTCTTTTTATACACAGATAATTATCGTAAGGAAAAATAGAAATGTACACACCGCATCCGGTCTTCTTATTGCATCCGTTCATCCGCTCGGTGAACGCATCCTTTACAATAGTTAAAAAAAAGGAGAAGAGAGAGAGAGAAAGAAACAGATCGTCTCTCCTCGGACGTGACGGATGAATAAAAAACAATTCAACTAAAAAGACATTAATGGCGACGGGGGTGGAGCCGCAGCGGCTGCAGCGGCAGCGACGGCAGCGGCCCCCGTCGTTGCTTCTATAAAACGTAACCGCTATGATTCTTTTATATGCTACAATATGGTACATTCGTCCGTGTCCCCGGAATCGTTCGCGATGAGACAACGGAACTGAAGATTATCTCGCGCGAAGCGGATATACACAACACGCGCGCGTGGGCGCGTCGGTTTCGTTTAACACATTGACGCCGGTGCGTAAGGTGCCACCGATGGACACTTTGGTGTCGCATTAAATCAGTTTGGCGGACAAAAGAAATCGCCATGCTTGTAAATTTGACTTATCGATATAACATCTGCATATATTAATAAAATATAAAATATATAAAACATATAAAGGTGACTGACTGATCGATAATTCCAATGATATCGAACACTTCAAGAATTTCGCCAGATGGTAATCACAACGGCGTCGACGTGTTAAAGCGAAGGTGACGCGTCGCCGCGCGAAGTTCGAATACGTTTAAACGCTTAAGTCATGGGCAAGTAAGAACTGTCCTACACATCTAAATCGACTACCTCTCGTTCGCTTGTCCGCGATACCTGCTGCTCGCGATCCCATTCGGTTTGACGTGAGGACGAATGGTGGCTCTCTCGCGGAGGGAATAGCTCTCTCGCGGAGGGAATACCTCTCTCGCGGAGCCCATGGTGCTAAGATTATGATGTCGAGGCGACGGGTACGCCCGCTGGGAAACGGCCGTCCGTGGTACAAGCGTATCCCTGAGGATACCCGGTTATATTACAGACTTTGAACTACAAGACGGAAAAGAGAGAGAAAGGAAGGTGGAACGGGGAAGGTGCAAAAGGACCAAGGAGGAAGGGGGATCCGTGTGGAGGATCACGGGCACACTGCGCGATGAGAACATTCATTCAGTCAGGCATTCACGCTGGACGAAAGAGCACAAACGAGCGTCATCACATGTCTGGAGGTGCGCGCGCGAACGGCTGCGCCTAACGAGATCGTCCGCGAGGAAGCTGAGCGAGCGGCGGTCGCCGTTTCACCCTCGCCGTCAGCTTTCCAGCTCGATGATATGCGCCCGACCGCGTTGAAGTTCAAGGTCGGAGGCCGAACCGCGTCCCTCTCGTTGTGTATTTTTATTGGCCTTCCCTCTTCCCTCTTTCCAGAGATCCCTCTCTAACCCCGCTTGAACTTCAGCACCATTATGCTTATCGTGAGGAACAACACGATCCAGATGATGGTCGCGATGAAGCCGTAGTACACGTCCGGCTCCGCGATGCTCCAGCCCCTCGTCAGCATCGAACGCAGCGACGTCGTCGCCATCGTTAACGGTAGTCCCTGCGATACGTATCGCAGGACCGTCGGCATCCCCTCTACTGGCCAGATTACGCCTGCAAATCGAGGAAGACTCGGTTACCGACCGTGCGACAATATGGCGGCTCGCCGGACCGACAAGATGGCGATGAACGCGAGGCTCTTGGAAGAAGATATCGCGATTGTGAATTTGTAAAACATATTGCAATAAAGTTACTTTTACCATTCAAAGGTCTTTTATTCGATACTCTTTCTACTTATCTTAAATATTTAATATCATTTCAATGAACCAGAATGGGCTGAGTCGGATTTAGCTAGGAAGAGGATCTCAATATGCGAATTTGTCAAATATACTGCAATCATTAGGAAGTTAGCGAAGTTTTCATCTTTAATCCGATCTTCTGTCTGCGGTTCTGAAATATTTCGTTCCGATTTCAATGAATCGAAATGGAAATCTTTCCGAACGCGTCGATCGAGCTGAAAATGACGAATCCTTCCAAGACTCTCGCGAAAACGATGATGCGCAGAAACATCGCGCGCGCGCGCGTCACCTGCGAAACAACACAGGAAACGTTTCTCGCTGCTGGATGAATGAGCAGCCGGTTACGTAAGTAAATGGTACACGACAGTATACTCTAGTGGAAAGCTGACAGCCGCTTCTGTCACGACTACCCGTTTCCTTCTGCCGCGTTCGAAGAAGAGACTCTTAGCTCGATTCCGGCTGGTTCGGAGCTACGCGTGCCCGGGCATCTTCGAGCGGAACATAATTGAGCATACGAGTGTGACTTTCACTTTCGCTCGGCAGTTTTGACATTTAATCGCGACGGCGCGGCTATTAAGCGACGCCGCTCGCGACATCCGCCGAGAGGGTTTCATTAAAACCGTTTCATTAGCCCGGTCTAAGTACTCACCGCTCAACAGCAGCGTGGGATAGAAGCTGCCCAGAGCCAGCTGGATCGCATTCCGTTCGAGCTCGCAGATCGCCGAGATCACGAACCCTGGAAAAAACAAACAAAAAATTAAAGAATAAATGTCGTTCGTCTAAGTTCCACCGAGCTCGACTCGCTAATTCTTTCAGAACAAAGTTGAAGCTCGTACAGGACGGGAAATAGTAAACACGACTAAAAAATCATTTTCTTGCTGAATTATATAAGAATCGAGCGACTGTCATTTGAGAATTGCGAATCGAGTTTTTGCCGGAGGTATCTGGCGATGGATTGTCGAGATAAATGAGATTCATTCGAGAGCAAAGAACGGAGTAAACTGGATTAGTGCTGCGTTTGTTTCAATTGAAGATTTTCATAGGTGAATTTGACCTTCTGCACTGGAACTGCCATGGTGAATAGGAAATTTGTTTATTTTATCAAAATTAACGACTAAATAACTAAAGTTTAATTGTACGTTCAAACAATTTGATCTCGAAATGTTCTTATTTGATACCAGCGTTTCCATAGCAATTATTTTCCAGGAATTTAGAAGCTCATCGGTGATCACCCATGGCACTTAATGTGTTAATGGAAACCAATGCTAACCACTTGCTTTACAATAACGAGTCAAACACGTGGTCCAGATTTCAAACAGAATTGAACTAGCATGCACGTTTGTTCGATCCTTTTGAATTCAAATTAAATATTATTCTTGTTATCAATTATTACACTTCGGAGCAAAGATTGATACAGAATATGTTCATAATTTTGTTGTTTTCCTTAATAAATCATTAATGACAAAGTAGCTGTATCGATCGAAATTAAAGTGAATGGACGCTTTGCTGTTATCAGCGTTTTAATATTGAAAAGGCAAGTGTGCGAGGCAAGAAGTGGCACTGTCAACTTACCGAAGCACATGCCGCAGAGGCCTTGGAGTATCGTCAGCACGATCACCCAGCCGATTTCACCCTTGCACTCGACGTTGAACACCAGGATCATGAAGATCAGGACCAAGGCTGTTTGGCCGCACATGACTACGAACTGGGTGATCACGTGAGAGAAGAGGACCTCGCCTGGAGTGACTCCGGCGACCCAACTTCTGTCGAGGAGGCCCTCCATCCTCTCGATGATGAGGACGGACGACGTGAGGGCCACCGCCAAGAAGAAGACAATGCTAAACAAAGAACAAACAATGGTTAACACGTTAAGCGCCGTGTCAGTCACTGATGACCGACGCTTCTGAATTATTTGAAAAGGATCGCAATACGCAAGATAACCGATGTCCAATGAAAATGTTTAATAACGCAACTAAGCTGATAACAGTGTGACGCAAAGATTGTAACGCTAAATAATTAATTCCTGCTTTTCTTTGCTAAAAAGAATGACTTTAAACCGGTCAAGATTTTCGCGGTGTTTAACGTGTTAATGCATGTAAACAACGAGTAAAGTGATCGTGAGTCACAGTGAAATCACATGGCAGTTAAACATTGACGATGAGTTAAGAGTTACTAATAACGAGACGAAGGAAGTTTAATCTTAACCAACGAGCAAGTGGATATTTTTAAATGAGCTTGATGGGGTTTGTGTCTTAATAAGATCTTGTATGTTTCAGTGATATTACTTTGTATTTTCTCATTGACTCTTTCACGGAGAACACGCGTGATGTGCAAACTCACGTCAAGATCACTCCAGGCGCCACGAAATCAGTGAAACTGGGCTCATTCGTGCCGTAAATTGGATCCATGAACTGGATAGGCACGTCTGCCAGCTTTGTGTTCTGATCGCAGGCCGACAGAAGGTCTTTGGCAAAGTCCCTGTACGAATATTGCAGGTTCCTGGCTAGCATCAAGCCTACTTGCTGATCTGCAAAGAGGAATGGCGACTGAATACTTTCTCCTGGAATATTTCTTTGAAAATAAAATCATTTGATTCTGTAGACTTTTTAGAGTTTATTGAAACAACGTAACCTTGAATTATTAGAAGAGAAAAGTGTGATTCTAGGGTCGTACAGATTTTAACTCTTTCAACAGCAAGTTTTAATACTTAAAATATAGTTCCAAGCAAGTTTTATCATTCAAATATCTAAAGATCATTGCACAGATTCTTGTTTTTTAAATATTATATGACACACAGCATGTAAATTAGTTTTATACGAAGAAGGTTTAATATTCCAAAGAGTTCTCGTTCACAAATGCTTAAAAAGCGTGCCCAAAGATTAACCCTTTACACTCGAAAGTTTTTCACTAGAAATATTCAACCTTTTCCGACGAGATATAGACGACATTGTTTGAAACTAATTTAACGATAATTCACAGATAAATTAAGCGACAATGCTGTTTTATTGAAACATTTCACATAGCAATACAAGGTTTAATTTAAAATACTAAATATTCAACTTCATAAATTTGCTGTATCAAATCAAGTGGTGACTGAGAGTGACTCGAGTGCAAAGAGTAAATTGATGATTCGACTCACTAGACATGTCCAGCCAGACCCTGATCTCGCTCTGGTCGAGAGTCTCGTCGTCGGCGTCCCTTCCTAGGGCCATCCTGGCGACCAGAGCGTCCGTGAAGTTCTCGGTGAAGTACAACGTGCCCCAAGCGTCTCCGCGACGCACCGCGTCCATCGCCGACGACGGATCAGGATAATATTCCTGTGAAAGGCGATAATCTTCAACGATGCTCAATAATCTTCAATAGTCTTCGACATCGAACGAACCGTTTTAGTAAGCTTACCTTCACCATCGTATCGTTATCCAAGAAATTCAGGTACCGACAACTGAGGTGCGAGAAAGTGCAGTCCGCCGTCACCGGGCAGGACATGTTCTCGTAGTACATCTCGTGATTTACGATCGCTAGTTTCAAATCTGTTGGATCCCTGCCGATCGCCAGGCAGAAGAGGATCACCTGCATGACTGGCAGCGCGAAGATGAACAGCATCACCCTGCGACAGAATGTTTGGATTTTTCTTTGTGTTTCAAAATGATGTGGTATAAATGATTTGCTATAAATGATCTACTATATATAATCTAACGTAAATAATCTACTATATATAATCTAAGGTAAATGATCTATTACAAATGCTCGATTATAACTGATGTACTATAAATAATCTACTGTATATGACCTCATGTAAATGATCTACTACAAATGATCTACTATGAATGATCTAGTATAAACGATCTACTATGAGTTACGTCTGTTTCATTTTGTATATTCATATCCCCATTTTCAATCGAAGAGACAGTTGATAGTTGACTCACCCAACGTTCCTCCACATGCGCAAGAAGTTCTTCTGCAACAGCGCTCTCATCTTTCCTGTACTCGTGATCTTGTAGCAGTCTGTGAACGCTCCTCCGCAATCGTTGCAGTCCAACGTGGAGCTCTTGACACCTGACAGTGGCTTTCCGTTCAGCTGTGATACATCAAATGTAAACGTGACTCGGGGATCGACAATTTTTAGGAATCGTTTGTCAAGTCGGTAAGAAATTTAACGAAGTATTTGCTATAGAATACAATAGTAACATAATCGAAACTGAATAAAGTATTCTCTATTGACAAAACACCGGTGCATTGGTATTAGAAAAGAAAAGCGTTCTTACATCATAATGATTTCCGACGCCGTTCGTCGAATCGTGAATAAGGACCTCCTTGCTCTGATGGAAGTTTAGACCGACGACGCCAGATTCCTCCGTCACGTACACTGGTTCGTTCTTCTTTCCCCAGTTCAGGGAAGCCTGCTTTTGCGTTTCGTCAAATTGATAATTATCCAACTTTGTCACGTGCGCGCATCGAATGCAAGACTCAGCGATTCGTTCTTACCAGACTGATATTGTTCGAAATGTTCAATTCTGTTGGCGGCTGAGCGTATTGCCCTTGCTTCCTCGACAACTTCAGGAAAACATCCTCCAGGGATGAACAGTTGTACATTTGGAGCAGAGCTCTGGGGGATTCTTCAGCCAATAATCGTCCGCTCCTCATCAGCCCGATCTACCGACGAAGCAATTTGCATGTTTTACTAAAATTTCATTGAAATTTCACATTTCCCATGTTCGTTCGCCGTTCTTCCGAGAAAGGTTTCGATGAAAATAATAACTGACGATTAATTTACTCGTTTTTAAACAGACTTTTCAACGAACAAGACTAGCGTACTCGATCTTTTCGGAATAAATAAGCGGACAAGGAAGAAATTATTACTTCCGGTAAAAAGAGGCGAACAGATAATAGGCGACAATGAAACTGTCCAATCTAGCGATATCAGGGACATAAGAACGGTAATCCCGGTACGTCAGGAAAACAAACAGACCTGTAATCGACGCGGCAGGTAATGGACAAGCGTACCATCTAATTAGGGGACGGATTATGAACCCGAATCCACGAGTCATCGCGGCGTTGCTTCTCAATGCCGATTTTTCCAGGAAAAGAGAAGAATAAAGAACTCCATTTGATTTTCATTAATTTAACACACAGAATAACAACAGTTCCATAAAATTCTTTTTCACCTCATCGTTACTGTAAAACGAGATCATTGAAAATAAAGCAACGAAGCGGAAGAAACTTGAATCCACGACGATAGACATTCTTATCCCATTCCAGTGCAATGTTCTTTTCTGTTCCTTTCTTTTTCCGTTTCTTTTCCTTCTCCGCGCTGTACTCGATAATTTTCGTCGAGCACAAAATACAAAAATCCCGGTTACGCAATTATAATGTCCAATAATTCCCGGTGTGTCGCGCTCGCGTCCGGCATTCTCACGCGCGCCGCCAATATGGCGTCCCGAATATTCCTGCACACGCTATTACGCAAGTCCACCGTACCATGTGCGCCTGCCGGGCTTCCTCGATGTAGTGGGTAGTGATAATAACGGTTTTGTTGCCATCTTTGGTGATCTGTACCAGGTGATTCCAGATGCTGCAATTAAAAAGGGAAAACATTGCGTTACACTCGGTGTCTGGTACCTATTCCGGATTCACCGCGGAATCAGCGAAACCCGTGCTCAACCATTCAAAAATCGATGTTTCTTCTTTTCTTATTTCATTACCATTACCTCTACCAAAACTATCATTTTCCTCTATCGTGCAGAATAAAAGATACCCACGCGAAACGCCGGGGAACCTAAATTGCCAATAGATTACGGCAAAACCTTGAAGGAAACGTTACGATGCTCGAAGCATCGTTGCCAACTTTCCACGATAATTGACTCGAGCCGTTTCTCGAAACGATCTCGGACGTTAACGGCGCTAGGAAATACCGCGAGAGTGTTTGTTAACGCGTAACAATAACCGTGGAGCGGCTCGTTTCGGTCGATCCGGATCAACGGCGCCGCCGATCGAGAAAGTGAGCAATCGAGAGCGCGCGCGAACGAGCCGCGGGAGCCGTGAATTTTCCTCGGCTCCCGCTTCCTCACGCGAGGAACCTCAATTTCGCGAAACCCTCGTGGAAACGCGAGCGATCGTAAACGTCGCCGGCGATCGCGCGCTGACCCGAGGAAGCGCGGAACGACCGAACAATATCGCGCCGCGAACTTTCTCGCGGCTAATTAGCCCTCCTCTCGTCGCCGCTTGACTTTCTGGTAAAAATGACGGTACCCCGTGTGTTCCTCGACTAAACGAGCGTTCTTCCTTTCATTATCTCCCGAGAACAAACGCGAGGCAACCGTGACACGCGAGGAAAATCCGTTCGGCGCGGAATTTCCTCGGAGATTCACCCGATTTTACTCGACTTTTTTCGATTTCGACATTTCGTTCCTTCAATTAACTCCTTAGGCTTCCAGACAGAAACTTACATTTATCTTCACGATATGCGTTAAGTAACTTATCTTTTAATAAAAATATTATATTATAAAAGATAAATATTTTATCATTTTTAACAGAATTATTGAAATATGTTTCAAGACAATGCCACCGGGAACTAAAGGGTTAAACGATTAGCGAACGGTGTAAGTTTATGGGTATTCGTTCAATACTCATGTTTCTGAGTAACGAACGTTTATCTTGTGACACCGTGACGGAATCGCGTTAAGGCCGCGTTAAATTCAACGCAAACGCTATTTGTCTCGTGCGTCTAATGCTCGGAGTAAGTGTAATCAATTAAATTTACAACGAACCGAGGAGGACAATTTTCCCTCGCCCATCGAATTATCCGCGTGTCGTTAATTATCATGGAAGGAACGGGCAGCCGATACGCTTGGGAACGATTAAACTTTGCAGTTTACGAGTCGCGGAAGGTTTTCATAATGCTGTAAATGCGTAATGATAGCCAGTCCCGACCGTTCGCGAGATTTTTCCGATCGGCGCCCGTTGAGCTCGTAACACGGCGGCCCGAAGTGTCGCTTGCGAAATTCAGCGTGTCACGTCACGGTCCAAGTAGGTTAAGACAACGTTCGTACGACATTTTACATGATCCGGCTTGGATAAGGAGAAGAAAGAGAGGAAAACAAAGAGAGAGAGAGAGAGAAGAAGAAAAGGAAAGAAAAGAGGAATGAGAAAGAGAACAAAAGGAAAAGCGAAGAATAGTAAGAAAGCAGAGAATTATCAACGATAATCTTCATTCAAAAGTAAGAAAACAAAAAGAATAGGGAAGGAAAACGAAGAAAAGAACAAAAGAAAGAGAAAGTGAAGAAAAGCGGAAAAGGAAAAACAAGGAAAAGAAGAAGAACTGAAGATTATCGTCGAGACATTTGAAAGCTGTCGCCGATCGACTCGCGTCTCCGCCTCGGAGCGAAGCGGAAATCGTCGAAAGCGATAACGAAAGGGATATTTGCCCGGTCGTCGTGAACGACCGACGCCGATAAGTGGAAATGTAAACGCGAACATTCTCGGCTGAAGTATATGCCACGCGAAACATGACGATCGTGATTTTCAGCATTCCTGGCCAGTGCAATTGGACGGGCACGCAACTTCGTGATACGGGTTTCGTTCGCGAATTAGCAACTGATCGACTTCCATCGAGTTTTCATCCCTCCGTGGGTTGTTTAGAAATTGCTGACAAGGCAGGATACTTAATACTTCACGGTTGAAAGGATTTACTAGTCTTAATTAAAAAATTTAATACGTCTCGCTGTGAGAAAGTGGACCGACGATTTTTTACATGAAACGTCGATGGTAGTTTCTAACGTAAAAATTCGAAGGAACAACGATTTTCATGTTCAATTCGAATCTTTAACGTTCCGTTAGATTGCGGAAGACTTAGTATCACGTGTGAACATTTATAATCTTGTATCGAAATAAATGGGTAGCAAGAATCATCGATTTCGCGTTGAAATTAGGATAACGTTGGGAATCGAGCTCGACGAGTTTCTAATGTTTGCCCGACACTCGAACAGCGTTTCGTGCGTTCAGATTTACTAAGGCGTGAGTGGATACCCAGGGAAAAGCTTTCTACAAAGTTCAGGCTGATTTATATCTACGTAGAAAGTGTAAAATCGTTTTCAGCAGTGGAACACGGGGACCCGCGGATCAGAAACGCGAATAATGGTAATTATTCGCTAGAAAGGTGGATCGAGATGAAGCTAATTAATGCTAACGACATTTCTTCGGAGTTCTGCTGTTTCATTCGAAACGAGCGCACGTTGAATTTCAAAGTTGCACGTCCAACTGGTTCAGTTTTACGAGTTTTCGATTAACGAGCGGACCGCGCGCACTTTCAAACGGTGCATTACGCAAGCAAAGGGAAACGTAACTCATGACAACACGGTTGCATACAAGAATAAGCGTTTCTCTACTCGCGTTCTCATCGGTCGAACTTTTTGTGTGTGACCCAACTAAAACAAACCACACAATTCATCTTGTTCAACGTGGCGTTCGATTGTAATTCATCCGCCACAATGAATTTCAAATAGGAAACGAGGAAATCTAACTATCTAAAGTGTTGCATTGAAGTTTCGTCCGAATTTTGATTTCAAATGAAGTGTCATTTAAATCTGATATAAAATGAAGCTCACATTCAGCGCCGCGAGAATTTTAACACATTGCGTACCAGTAACGAGAAATCTCGTTTTTATATAAAGACACTTAGCTATGCAACTTCGCTAATTACCACAGCATTGGAAAAATATAAAATTTAATTCGAATTGATTATCTATTTAAAATATATTACATAATATGATATCTGAGTTTTTCTATGTATAGTGATACAAGTTAACCTCAGTGAAGATTGCCATCACAATTCAGTTTTCTGAAAATTAGCCGGTACGCAATGCGTTAAGAAGTTACTCTTTCACAACAGAGACAAATGCTGTTAATTATTAATAAATTGGTATAGTAGTTCTCAAGTCACACTATTATCTAGTTACTTCTGTTACGAAATATTTCCATTTCACGTCGGCTTTCTTCTTGTCCCTGTTTCCAAGCAATTTGCCGACCATCGTGGCTGTCAACGTAACTTCCAATTGAACGGAAATCTCAATTTGGGAGCCACGAGGCAGCTAGAAACTTTGAGAAACCCACGCTTTTATTTAATTATCTCTTTAAAAGAAACATCAACGAAGCCGATCGAAAGAAGGATATAAAATTTAAGTGTCAAGGAGGAAATTGATTGTTCCAAGCGGCGCAGCCACTAAGGAAGCACGTCGTCCCGCGTCTCCTGCCGATCGGGAGTTATTACAGCGATTTCATTTTCACGGTTCATCGGTAATAGGAGGTCGTTAGGGTTTAAAAACACCTTCGCTTCGAATTTTTCGACGGCCGGCTCGACGCGGCGCGCTTTCACTCAAAAGCGTGATCTCTGCCGCAGTCACGCGCGATTTACTCCCGCGTTTCAATGTTTCTAATACCCCTTGATCTCGATACTAATATCTACCATGGCCTTCGCGTGTCTACCATCGAGAATTTGATATTTTTTCCTTCGATACGATCAAGGACGTTTCGGAAACTGGTTCCACGGGGAACCAGCTGTGCAACCAATGCAACTCCCCCGAAATTCGATGTTTAACTCTTTGTGGACGAACGTAGGCATTTTGACGAGATGAAATGTTCGTATTTGGAATACTAAATCGCAAACGAACGATGTAATTACACGAACAACAAGAGATTAGTATATAGTTTCTATTTTTCCTATTCTTCAAGCATTCGATGTATAGTAGTTCATTAAGAGACCAGTGTAATTTAGTTCAACTTGAACTTACGCTTAGATGTGGAAGTTCGTCATTGTAATTTCAAAACGACGAGGTATGTTCGTATTAATACAATTGTAGAAATTATTGTATACATTGTCAATTTGTAGTGACAGGTTAATGTTTGTTAGTTTTATAGTACGCACATTTTTTTATAGTCTTGAAGCAAAATTCGACCTGTAGAGGGTTAACGTGTGAAATTTCTGGTGACTCACCTCTGCCGCAGCAACGGGTCCACGCCGACCGTGGGTTCGTCAAGGATTAACAGCTCTGGATCGTGCATCAAGGCGACGGCGAAGGACACTCGTCGTTGCTGGCCACCGCTGCAACCGAAAATAATTCGATAGTGGAAGATTCGAACAACACTTCGGTGTTTAACTTCGAAATCGAAGGTTCCAATTTTGTCCGAGGCATCTATGCAATAATTAGCTGCATTTCAAACTGTTCGTAACATGAAAAATTCACGAAGATAATGTCAAAAGATAAAATTGCGGTTTAATAATAAACGAAAACTCGAAGTTACCTATTAACGAAGATAATTTCAAAGGATAAAATTACAATCTGATAATAAACCACCGCAAAAGTGTTAAAAAATCGCAATGAGAACCGAGATGAAGCCCGAAGTAACGAAAACTCGAAGTTACCTATTAACGAGGATAATTTCAAAGGATAAAATTGCGGTCTAACAAGAAACCTTCAGAAAACATCGTTCAAAAGTCGCGTGTAAAACTGGAACGAAGCCCGAAGCAACGAAGATTCGAGGAATGGCGATTTACAGACCTGAGATTCTTCACCAATCGGTTCTGGGAAGGCAGGTCGAGGAACTGCAGCAGAAACCGCAGCCGGTCCACAATTTCGGCGGTGCACATGCCGAATATCCATCCGAAATACATCATCGTCTCTCGGATGGTGAACTCCCCGTACAACGCGATCTCCTGCGGCATGTAGCCAACCCTTTTCCCAGGAACGCCGGACCCTTTGGTGCCCGGTTTGCCGCCGAGCACCCAGATTTCGCCCGAGTTCAGTCGCCTCCGGCCGACGATGCACGAGAGTAGAGTGGTTTTGCCGCATCCGCTCGCGCCCAGCAGTCCATAACTAATGAAAAGAAGAAACGCCGTTCGTCACGGGAAGCTTGAGCAATCGGGAATCGGGATAATACGACGACAATTACGAATTTTACGAGGAAAAAAGGGAATGGAGGGAGATTATATGGGAGCCGACGAAATTGCATGTTTCGCGAGAGAAAGGTTTGCTCGTCATTTCTAGATATTTTCCGTTGGTTCGTTTTTAAAGTGAGGTATTATTCGATCTACGTGGAAACTATAATGCTAGTCTGTCCTACCAGACATCCTAATTCTTCACTCGAATGAGACGATCGTTGATCAAAGACTGTCCGCTGTCGCTCAGCCAATTATTCTTTATTATCCTCATTATCTCCATTACGTCCGTACTATTTCGAAATGTACGCGAGGACTCTAGGTGTACTCAAGGATTCGTAATCGTCCGTGCCAAATAACAATCAAACGCGCATCGCTCGTAGCGATTAAACTGGAATGACAGAAGAATGAAATGTTTCGAAATATGTAGATGAAAGGAATGAACAGATTTGAATTGTAATGATTTATCGAATGATCCGACGAGTGTTTAACACTTTGAGTGCTATCTTGTCGATTTAGCGAAACTGAGAAATTACAATTACAATTTAATTGTCTTGTATGAATTAACCTCTTTCCCTACAATATCCCGTGAGACAAAGGAAATTTTCAACTGAATCTGAGATATCTAAGTGTTATTCATTTCTCTAAAATATAAATTAAATATTACCATTCTATTATCAATCATTAACCTTCAAAGTGAACGATAGAAAATGCATTAAAATTCTGTTCTTAATAAATTATTAACGATCAAGTAATTGTACCGATCATAGCTAAGAAATAGACCATAATTCATCGATTTTCAGATGTCAAGCTAAGAAATTCAAACGTTTCGGCTGGAAGTATTCAGCACTCGAAGAGTTAAAGATCCCGAAACGCGAGCAAATCGCTGGATCATAGTTGTCGACAAAAATCCTTACGAATCAGCGAGACGAACGATTTCACGGAGATCGTCGGTTGGAATAGCGTGCGCGCGCGTTACGTGCGCTCCTCGCCGCGGAAAAGCTGGTATTCGTAACAGTGACCACGATAACGCGACGTAATAATTATATAATCAGTATAATGACATTCTGTGATTTATTTCGTGTCGGAAACCAACCGTAGTGGCTTGTCGTGTTCGCGTGTTCGCCGCGAATTCGGCGATAACTCTTCATTACTGTGCGCGCGTCGTTCGCCGGTCACATCTTTTACGATCGCTGTTTACGAGAGATCGTCACGATCCAGTGATCCTGTTCATCAGCAGCTTTCTAAGAAAGCCGAGGATCGTTTTCCTTCGCTCAAAGCCGATCATCGAAGCCTTTTATCCGTCGAACCGTATTAAAATCCTGTTCGGCAGCGTTTAAAATACATCTAACCCTCCATTTACGCGGAACGTCCGTTCCAAGATTCGATTCACGCGAATGAAAATCGCGTAGAGTCGGTACAAGAAGAAACGAAACATCGGAAAGAGAAGCTGGTAAGTCTTGAAACTATGATGATTTTAAATAGAATTTAATATTATTATTATACTAAGACTGTTATTCTTCTACTATCAACTATCACATTCCAAAGCGAACATGGACATGAAATATACCCAGAATTCACATTTCTTTAAATAAATTATTTACGGCGAAGCGTTTGCATCTCAGTTACGAAATAAATTACAAGAGTTAACGAACAGAGGTAATAACAACGACATTTCCGGAAACAAGAGTGGATTTTATTCAGCGTCAACGGTTTCGGATCGCGTGAATTCATATCGCGTGCGCACAGTACTGCGTGAGGCTTGCAATTTATCGCGTGAATGAAGAACTCGCGCGAAAAGGGGGCCGCGCAAATGAAGGGTTAGGTGTAGACACCCCGAAACGGAAGATCCGCGTGCACGCGTTACGGAGTCCTGATTTATTCCGCCGATTTAGCGAGCGTCGTTCGAGAGACAATCACCGGAGCAAATTACGGTGCAGGCGGATCGTTCGTTTAAAAAGGCAACCGTGTAAAACGATTCATTTCATCGCGCCAGCTGCGGCGATCGACGCGATCGAGGATCAACCGCGTTCACGGCTCTCGACGCTTCCCGATCGAAGATAAATAATTCGAACCGATTCCGGCCGTTAAGTGGCGGGCACGTAACGTTATCTTGGAAACCCGACGGATCTATTTTAAGTTAATGCTTCCTAGGAACGTGACCGCTCTCGCTTTCGAACAATGAAACAATCTCGCTCTTTCATCGGGAAGTCGGCTCGTTGCATTTCGACGCTATCGCGGCCGCATCTGCGTCGTTAGCGCGCGTTTAAGAAATTATTGGCTCGCGGAAGCCTGTAATTCTTGAGTACGATTTATTTGGCGGGCTCGACGACGTTGTTATCGTTGCACGGAACGAAAGCAAATAGCGGGATGTTCGCATAAACGATTCGTATTATCGACAGGCATTTTTATCACTGTTTCTATCATCCGAGCATCGTGAAAGGGAATCATCCGCGGGATTTGATATCTTCGAAGTGTCGATTCGCTGGTGATTCGAGGGAATATCTTCTTAGGTTCACGATGATGAGTTCGTTGAATGAAGGGAGGTTCTCAGACGGTTTATTAAATCTTTTTTTCTTCATTCTTGGAGACAATTCTAATCGGTGAATTCTCATAGATTCAGAATCTTATATTAATGAACTCGAAGATACTAAAAAATTCTGTCTTTGTACCTTCAACGTTTGAAATAGTTTAAACACTACCTTTAAACCACTAACATTTCTTCAATTCTCAAAAACACTCGTTGCAATTCGTATTAACACAAATCTCTACAATACGAAAATCATTCTTCGATACATTCGATGAAGATGCTATAGTAATCCCGGCTGAGCCCTCAAGTTTATAGTGGGGTTACTATTATTATAGATATTGAAAAGGTGGATCTTCAGTAAAAAGAGAATTAGGAAACAATACGGACAACACGTAAAAATACAACTTAATACCACGAAGGCCAACACACGACTCTCTGTCACGTACAAAAATGTTCTTTTCCGTTCACCAAAATGTCCTCATGCACGCATTTCCACTCGCTTTTAACACACACCCCCATTCGCTCTGTCTTCCTCACCCTTGCACCCTTCTCACTCGCATCTTCCGTCCATAGTCAAAATTCACGCAGTCGCGTGCACGCTTTTCTCACGGTTCAGTCGCTCAGTTCCAGACACTCTTCCTCGCATTCTTTCAGCCGCTCGAGATTCTCTAAGCGCAGTCACGCTATTTTCCAAACATCCCGGCGCCGGTCCGTCGCAATACGACCTGGTCGCCCTTACGCACGCGCAACAAACCATTCATCCTACAGTAAATATTCTAGATAGTACAATACTCACATGGATCCCTTCGCCACGGTCATGCAGAGGTTCTGTATCACGTGGTTAGGGTTCTTGCTGCTGCCGTAGGTTTTGAACGCGTGCCTGACGCTAACTGCCTGCTGCCTGCTCCACGCGGGGTTGTTCAACCCCGGCGTGGCCAGCAGCGTGCTCGGCGTGATCGTCACGTCCAGCGTGCTGTCCGAGCTGTTCTGCATCGTTCCCAGATCGTTCACGTTCACCAGACCGCCACCGCCTGCTGTCCCGTCGCTGGAACTGGAGAGGAAGAAAAAAAAGGCCCCTTACATTCACGTAACCACGATATTCGGTGTCCGCTCGCTCGACGCCATTGTTCCGCGACCGGTGGAACGGTTACCGAACCTGGAGAACCGAGAAACCGCTGGGAATCGGCGGCACAATAAAATAAAACAGGGCGGGAGTTCTCACAGCGGATCGCGTGAGGCGAGTTGCATCTAATTAAATCCTTCAATCGTGAAATTTCTTTGACCCAGTTCTAAGCGTTTTATTGTTCTCGTTGTGTCTCATTGTAGCTAGAGTCTGAGTATTCAAGTTTATTTTTGTTGCAATTTTGTGGACACGATTATTGTAAGGGAAATTGAAGTATTAGAGATTTATGGAATTCACTTATGAAAAGAAAATTGCTTTAGTTATGATATTTGTAAATTAGTTTGTGAAATTCAGCTGTGAAACTCTTCGTTCCAGTTTAACGGGTTAATGCGAAGTAAGGAGAGATAGAATGAATAACGAGTAAGATGATGTTAAAGTTTTGTCAGTGCTGAAGATAGGTTTCTAATTTTGTATTTGAATGCTTTGCCTAAGTCATCGTTTAATAGTCTTCAGAAGATCAACAACAGTGAAACACGCTCTCGAATCGAGGATCGTGAGAAACGTGACTGAAAACCTATTCTATTTCCAGATGCCAGCGAAGATATTTTGAAATCGGGGAACGCAATGAAAATGCGTGTTCCTGCATCGGAATAGTCGAGGAATATTCATGTGGCAATGGGAACAGGATCGTAAAACGTTGAAGAATAGTGTTATCAACGCGCGAGTAGCTGTTGATTGATTGATGGTAAAATCAGAAACGAGGTCCGGCTTCTCGTTGTATTCGCTTCTATTGATCGAAGCGACCGTTGCGTCATTGCTGGATCTTTATGCGAGTCAATCTTTTAAGAATACAATTGAAGGAATCACGATGGAAAATAGTTTCCTCTAAAAAATACTATAGGAAGCACTGCGCATTCGACGTTTCTTCTAAATATCTATCTACTTTTATCTATCATCTGCTTTCCAAATACTCTGCAATATTCAACTTCCTTGCATTTAAATTTCATCATTAAATTTCAAACACACTATAGAAAGCATTGCACATTCGACGTTTCTTCTAAACGTCTATCTACTTTTATCTATCATCTACTTTTCAAATATTGTCTGCAATATTCAACTTTCTTGCACTTAAATTTCATCGTTAAGTTTAAGAAATACTATAGGAAGCATTGCACATTCGACAGTTCTTCTAAGCGTCTACCTACTTTTATCTATTATCTAGCTTTCAAATATTCTCCGCAACATTCAACTTCCTCGCACTTCAATTTCATCGCAAAGTTGCACTACGAGATTTCCTATAAACGCATAAGAATCCTCAGTCGAGCGGTTATGGAGAAAAATCGGCGATGTCGCGAGGAAAGCGATCGTTGCGTCAGTTGTATGAAAAATCGGTGAAAAATTGGCCAATCCGGGGAGAGAACGATCTGGTCCCGGCTTCGGACAGTCCGGACCACGCGCGGTGTGGAAAGAGGCGGCTCTCGATCGTGCGTTGTTACGCAAGAAAGCGGCTTTCTTTTCGCTCGCGCTTGCTCGCCGGCTCTCTCGAGCGTCGTTACGTTGTCCGCGAGACAGATGTATGTACGAACAAGGTTCGTGCACGCTCGCCGAAAAGGAGCCCGTTGTTTCCTGGGAACAACGATGGAATTCCGTCGCTCAAGGCCGTGCTAAACGATCATCCTAAGATCTTGTTGACATTTTCACCGCGGCCAGTGAAACCGAAACGATGACCGACTCTTTCCTCTTCGTGCCGGTGGATCGGCGACTCGTGCATGTGGGGAAATGCATTCCTGCGCTACTGTCTCTTTTACTGCTCACCGGAGATTGTGTTTATTACGCCGCGTTCGTGACTGGGATTAGTTTCTTTGATGTTCTTTCACGGAGAATGTTCCCAGGTTTATCATCGAGGAATTGGAAAGGAAATGAAAGAGATATCGTAAAGAGAATTGAAAGAAGCAGAGGAACTGCGTAGAAATTCTATTGAAGATCTAGGATTGGAAGGAAGTAGGGATTTATTGAAACGTGAAGATAAGGAGAAGATACGGCTATGTCATCGAAGGAAGTATTCTTAGGTAATTCGTGGTAAAAGGAAACATTGAAACATCAGCTTAGAGGAACAAAGGAGGAACTGATGTAAAGGAAACCTCGAGCTAATGAGAAGATGCTATATTACAAAAAGGAAAATCCCTAGTGGAAAAGAAACATTGAAACATCAGTTTAGAAAAACAAAGAAGGAATTGATCAAAGTAATACTTGAACCTAAAGAAAAGCTGCTATATCACAAACAGAAAAATTTCTAGTGGAAAAGAAACATTGAAACAACAGCTTAGGAAGACAAGAAAGGAATTGATCAAAGTAATACTTGAATCTAAAGAAAAGCTGCTATATCACAAAAAGAAAAATTTCTAGTTGAAAAGAAACATTGAAACATCAGCTTAGGAAGAGAAGACAGGAATTGATCAAAATAATACTTGAACCTGAAGAAAAGCTGCTACATCACAAAAAGAAAACTCCCCAGTAGAAAAGAAACGCTAAAACACCTGCGCAAAGGACTGATCCAAAGGAAAAGCCAGATACACCGATGCAGCATCCGTCGAAGGTGAAAAACGCATCCGCAAAGCATCCCGGAAGGCAGCTCTCGCGAATCGATTGTTTCCCCGCGAGCAACGACGTTTTGGATTAGCTGCGCGAGATCGCGCGTTTGCATAGTTGCGCAACGCGATCACTATAGATCCGAACATGGTGCGCGCGGCTCGCGTTGCGCGTCGATACCGATCTCGGTGTGAAAGGTCGCGGATTCGGCCGATCGATGACTGCTTTCACGTGCTGTTACCGGCTGGCGTCGATCCTCCGCCGGAACGGCAATGCTGGCTAGCGGAACGCACGCGCCATCCGTACAGGAAAAGTCAACAAACCGACAACCGTCGTTTCGTAACGTTCTCCGCGGACAGATATCGGACCGCGGAAGAAAGCTGCGAGTACGAAGACGTTTCTATTCGCTTCGGGGAATCTCTCCTCGCCGATGATCGCCGCGCCGGCGAACGGATCGATTTGAATGCGATAGCTTTTGTTTGAACTTCGAGAAATTTGCAGAAGTTTGGAAGAGTTTGAAGAAGTTTGACCGTTTACGCGAATGAAGAGTACAGCCGTGAAATTTGTACTTGCGCGATGGGAAATAATTAGTAGTCTTTTTTTGAGTAGTAAAAATTATGGTAAATACTGGCTAAACACAGAGTTCGCAGTTAATGTTTCAAAATAACATTTTAAAGAATAAGTTTTGAAATTGTGTGTTAATATGTTACATGAATGCGTACTTATTGGAAATTGTGGATTTAGAGTGATTGATTGATAGAAACGATCGTGAATAAAGTGGACAGAAGTTGAACAGCGACGATCTTTATTACCGCTTCAAAAAGAAAATCTAATAAGACATTCCTGATAATTTCCTCGCGAAAGGTTATTATCTGCATGCATCGAGTCCACAGATTTTTCAAAGAGGAAAGATTAGCGGTACAAGTGCCTCGGATTGTGTTCGATAATTTTCGATCGTAAAGGGTTAATTGTTGGATCCGAGCGAAAGTTTCATCGCTTTTCTATACAGACGCGTCGAAGCCAACAGCTAATTAGTAGATATATAGTTGGACGGCTAGATTGATTTATTTTCCCGTTCTTTTCCAGGCGGCGGCGACTTCCTTATAAACATTCCATCGCGTTTCCGATGGTTAATACCATTTAATTAATTTATAACTTACTTATCTTCCCTGTTTCATTCCCGCCGAAAGGCAATCGCTGTTATTAAGACGTGCACGTCCGAATTCGCGGTTTCGTTTTCTAATTAATGCAACGAAAACCGACGGGAATTCCGTTTCGAGAGTAACGCACAGAAACGTTATCGAATCGCATCGATACCTCGGAGATATCGAATTTTATTCCACAAAACGCCCCGCAAAAGTTACTAAAACCTTTCTCCGAGACGTAATATTGTCGGCGGCGGCTGATGATATACGAAGAAATTTCGTTTCGCGTATGCCGCGAACGCGAAGAATTCACGCGGAATTCCAGTTGCGAAGGAAATAACGTGTCGGGCGAATTCTTCGAGCCCGTCCACGCATTCGAAAAGTATACAGGCTCCTATTTGACGTCTCGAATAATCAGGAACGCACGGGGACACGTAAGAACTGCACGAATTAAGAATAACAACATTAATCCAGCGAATTCCGACTATTTTTACCCCATTCATGTAACATTCGACGGAAACACGTTCGGTACACGGATCGTAAAATATAATAATCGGGAATTATTTCGTGTAAAGGGCGAAATGATTTCTACGTTTTTATGTCCCCCATATTTTGTCAGTTGATTTCCCTGTATTTTCGATTTACACGTCCGCGGGCCTCCGGAGCCCAACAAGGTGAACCGATGCCGATCCGATTCCGTTTTACGTGGATTAGACTATCAAATTTAATATCCGCATAAACGTCCGCGCAAACCCGACAATAAATTACGGTTCGGCCGGCGATTTGTAATTGAAATTTCGTTACATAAAATCGTTCGCGGGTTCGGTCGTTAATTTCTTTTATCGCCGCAGTGGCGACGGCGTTTTTGTTCCCCCGATTTGGTCGCGATCGCGCGCGTGGCATTTTTTAATTGTCTCCGTCGAGAGCATCTTATCGTGAACAATAGAATTTTCTGGGGCGATCGTGTCGGTTGCGTACGAACGGTGATCGAACTGTCAAAGAAATTCGAAATCAAGAAAACGATTGGTGAAAACGTGTAACGTAAGCAACTGTAGAATAATACAAAGTACTCGTAGCAAATATTCATTAAAAATCAAAGCATTTCTCCACCATTTCGAAACCTCTCTATTTCGAACGCAGAACATTACCGTAAGTGACAAATTTCTCAAAGATCCTAAGATTTATAATACTATT